TTCTTTGCTACCGAGTTGTCGCTTCTTAAACATTTACGTTCTTTGAGAAAAGCGATTAAATCGTGAATACGGCATCACTGCTCATACGTAGACTTGGCAGCTCTTTCGTGGAAAGCACACTTTTATTTTATCCATCAGAGGTCGCCTTAAAAACTGTCAAAATATATGTTTTTTTAGAGATTTCAGTGGCAAAAATACATCGATGCTATTCTTTGATTCGATGCATCGAAATGTACTTCGATATTTTGCGATGAATCGAATTTATCATATAATGTTTGGCAACAAAATATGTTATTAGCGAAATTGTACAAATTTTTAAATCAATTACTGCAACTGAGCTTATTATTTTTCTGACGGAACTTTTTCAAGCCTTTTAAATATTTTGGTAAATGTCACTTCTATTTTTTGAACAATTGAAAAACTACAATAGGGGTCTTCCTTTAAACTCGTAAAAGCTTTGTAAACCTCACGAGCCTCGTAAAAGAACTGTTAGGAAAAATCTACGAAGCAAAAACTGTTTCACAAAAACCTGCTTGAACTGTCAAACAGTCACTTTACGCACCTACTTACATATTTTCTTACATCGACTATTTATATAACGCGTGGAAAATTTTCGAAGTATCGAAGCAAAGCATCGATTTTTCGATGCATCGATATTTTTCCGAAAACCCTAATTTGTTTACTTTGATCGTTGTACACGGTTTTACTTTTACTTGCAAAAGTTCAAAACAAAAATGGCTTCAGCGTATTGCCAATTGTAAGCTTGCCAATTTTTTATGTAAAACACCGATTAATGTATTTTATTTCAATTATTTCTTTCAGCTGTGAAAAGGATAAATTTAAGTATACTTGTCCTAAGTGTAACGCTTTGTATTGTTCAGTGGCGTGCTACAAAGCACCGGAGCACTTGAAATGTTCTGAAGAATTTTATAAGTCTTGTATACAAGAAGAATTAACCACATCTCAACCCAATTCACGGGATGATATGAAAAAAATGTATGAAATTTTAACCCGAATGCATGAGAGCGAAGCTGGTCTCGAACCTGATTTCAATGATCCAATAGACTCTGACGACGAGGGAGCGGATGCTGAAAATTGCGCCGAAGTAGAATTAGATGAGGATGATGAGGAGGAAGATGTTGAAGATATCGCGACACGCTTACAAGATGTTGATATTAATGATGCTGACGAAATATGGCATAGATTGACATCGGAGGAGCGCGCAGAATTCAAAAAGATGGTTGATTGTGGTGAAATAATGAAATTATTGCCTAGTTATAAACCCTGGTGGATGAAATCAAAAGCCCCAAAAATTGTAGAAGTAAGCTGTGACAAAAGCGATCAAGCCGAAAATTCGAATGTACCTGAAATACAAAAACAAATTCCAAAGTTTTCTAGTATTTGCAAAAAGCCTCCTTCAAGTTGCTTGCATTATAATCTATGGAATATCTTGACTTCATACGGTTGCATGGTACGCTATTTCAATGGTGAGCACTCTACCAGCCCAACGGAAGCCGTTTCACATTTAGTAAATCTAAGCTTAAATCTAAAATTTGGCACCAATTTCGAAGATGTCGATGACGCTATTGTGTCTGTTGAAATGGAAGCGTTGACTACTAAAAATATTGGCGTATCTGCGTGTAATGAATTTACTTCGTTAACGACAAGTCGCGATCAGCTAGAATCTGATGCGCGCTCGTTGATGTCATCCTGCTATTACAAACTGGCAGCGCTCAGTGACATATGCCGCTTGATGGTGTGCGCTAAAAACTATCTAAAGCGTAATAAGTCAACGCCTAACAGTGACTTTCACAAACTTTTCGCTATTTGTAATGGAAGCGTTGAGTTAGATCGAAAGAAATTAATACACTTAATAAAGAAAATTGAGTTTCTGTTGTCATATGTAAATCGCGAAAATGAGGAACGGCTTGAGTAATGCAAATTAAAGGTTGTATTTGGTGTATATAAAAAACTTAGAATAAATAAAATTAAACTTTATAAATTTACGCTGCGTATAATAATTTAATTTTCTTTTTTCACTGTATAAGTTTCAAGAAATATGAGGCCTTAGAAGTTTTTTAAAAATTACTTTCCAACTCTGCTGAAACTGCTCTTAACTATAGACTACATACAACATTGGCGTACGCTGGTACGGGCGGGGGAGGGCGCAAGCACCACCAAAATTCAAAGTTTAATTGTTTCTTCTATGCATTTCATAATGAATTTTCAAATAAAAATGAATCCAGTATGTGAAAGCTTAATAAAAAATTAGTTCCTTTAACAAAAAACGTGTAAATTCAAGTCTCAGGCTATTTAAATAGATTGTTTGAACTGTTTCTTTAACTTAAAATATATAAGTATGTATGTATGTGTGTATGTATATATTTTTATTTTTGAAGGCAAGTTTCTTGAATACAGCTATGCCGAAAAAGTAGGAAACCAAAAGGAATGACCCTATGTGCTTTATCTGCTGAAATATGTAATTTGGTCCGACCCCGTCGAAACAGCTCGTTTCCTGGGCCTACCGTTAGTTGAGCTTAACGACAACGATTGATGGACATGATGGACAAACTGACCTAGGCGGGGCTTAGATGTGCCGTTAAAACAACAACCGTATGTGCGTCATTAAACAAATTTTCTATTTTTGCAAAATTATGAGCTCCTTCAACTCAACTGTAACGGACTTCAGAGCAAGATCGAGGAGATAACCGTCTTTATGGGAGGCATGAAATATTGATCGCTGCGGTCCAAGAAACGAAGTTGCACAACAATTCAACATTATTGAATTGCACCGTACACCCGTCGAGTTCGCGAGCAAGATAATCGTGGTGGCTTAGCGTTCATCACGCACCACACCGTGCAGTATCGTCTTATTGAAGCAGACAATGACCGCAGGGATACCACCCTTGAATCTCAGGGCATTGCTATCCGGTCAGGCGATGTCGAGCTTGAAATAATTAATGTTTATATACCCCCTGTCACTAGCTGCCCGGCAGAATATCACCCTGAAATAGGTGCGCTCCTCAGAGGTGAAAACCGTATGGTAGTTGGTGACTTTAATGCGCCCCACGATCTTTGGCATTCAAGCCTGTCAAACGATCGTAGGGGAACAGAATTGGCACAATGAACGACCACGCACCCACAAGGATTATGGGCTGCTGTTGCAGCTCGTCGGACATAACAATAGTCAGCGCTGTTCTGATAAAGACCCCCGTCCAAACTGCCCTGCTGAAGCGGCTGTTCTAGCCGATGAGCGTGATAACCTTCGTTAGGCCGATCCCTGAAATCCCCGTATCAGGGATCTCAACGCAGAGATTCGGCAGCTTGTGAACGTACATAAGCGGAAAAAGTGGGAAGAGCATCTGAAGACCTGTAAATTTGCGTCTGGTGTGAGTAAGCTTTGGCCAACCGTGAGGTCACTGTCCAATCCAACGAAGAGCGACGACCAGGTTGAAATATCTGAATTTTCCATGAATAATTTCCTTGAATAAATATATAAAGACAGATTAGTTTTAATGGAGTGATCTACAAGTTAGAAAGCTAAATTATTTTATTTAAGTGCAATAAATTTCTGGTTTTGACCACGTTCAAAATTTATTGGGCTACAAAACTATACTCAAAAAGATAATATAAAAAATCGGATTAAAAAACTCAAAGTTTGCATGAAGATTTATTGAATTTTCGTGAGTTTTGAACACAGTTTGGAAAAAACATTTTTATGTTTTTTGCTATAGTATAAAATATATTTTTATAAAAAATAGCAAAACAAATAAAAACAAAACATTTTGTATATCGATGGATTTTTTAATCCAGTAAAATTAATTTATGTTTAAAACTTTTTGTTTCTCCATTGAAAAATAATTAGAAAAAAACATTTATTTTTTATTATCTACTGCAACACAAATTTTGTTGGTACTCTCAAAACCGTTTTTGTATGTTTTTTGGTAAGGGAAGAAATATGTGAGTTGCAACACTTGTTCCAGGTCACTTGCTAAATTTTGAATTGCATTTCTAATCCTTTTATTGACGTATTTTTCTTTTGTATTTAAATATTATTTTACAAGTATTTTTAACATCTACTTATTTATACAATCTTAAAAACTATCTCTCTACTTAAATTTTTTTTCTATATCTTAATTATAGTTATTACCAGGGAACGGATTTTTAGGAACTAAAAACTTTTAAAAAAAGGCAAATTAAAATAACGAAAAAGGCAGGAAAAGGCACAAGAAATAGCAAAAAATGCAAAAGGCACTAAAAATAGACAAAAACTTAAAAATAACACTGGTTTACAGGAAAAATGTTCAACGGACGGCGCTACATATCCAATTCCCATATAGAATTGCTCGCTGATTACAAAAATCGAGTTAATTTTTTTTTATTCTATGGATAAATTTACGAGATATTTCAGGTGTACATGGCGTATGAGTAACATTCTTTCCTGCTCATTTTCATACAAAAAGTCTTTGCGCATTTTCATATGACCACTTATTACTTCTTTATTTATCCTTCGATTTTCTTCATTATCAACTTGATTTTTTTTTGTAACAGAACAAGCTTTAAACACAGCCTTGAATGTACTGAATGTGCGCTCGACGTGAGTTGATACAATTTAAATATGGAACTTTTGAAACTTTTATATTATCAGGAATAATCACTTTAAAGGAATAGTATGCAAAAAATGCAAATATCTTATAAGAGGCAACATCAAATGTGTATATATGGAATCAGGAAAAGCTAAATCGTGGACATTCTTAGTCGAATAACTGTATCTCTTTAGAAGAAAAGAAATACAATTTCCCTAAAATCCGTTCTCTGGTTATTACCTAGGGTTTGAAATGTATATATGTATGTTGCTTTGGCCACTAAATTAACAAATTTTGGCTATGTGGACGGCTGTATATGAATGCATGTTGCATGTTTCCATGATCAGCTGTCGAAGCGAGGCGAACGCCAAAACAACACGAGAGCTCTATGTAGACGGGTCTTAAGTCAGCATTTTATGCCTTGCACTGTGAAAGTATTGAACGGAAATTGAAACAT